AGCCAAGAGAGGAAAAAAAAAAGGAATAGAAAAAGATTAAAAGGGGGAGGAAAAAAACACCTTAACACTGATAATATGAGCTCCCAGCTAATGTATAAATTACAAACTTACTATAAAAATAACAAAAAATGAGAAAAACAGTAGTCAATTACTGAAAACCTCCTGAAGAGTGGACTGAAAAATTACAAAAAGGTTTACCTGCGAAATTCCAGAGTTGAGGTGCTGAATATAACATCAATCTGCTAAATGACAAATTTTATTTGTATTAATTGTATATATTCTGTTTAGTATTTTGCCTTGTTTTTTTTTTTCTTTTTGTTTATTGAAAACAATGTCAATTCTGCTTGGGAATTTTTGTCAATTACATTACAGAAATATTCATATGTGGATCAGTATCTGTGCACTTTGAAAGTTATACACATTTCTAGATTCTCAGTGGAAGACAATCACATTGGTATTTTTTTGTTTAAGTTCATAACCATGTTTCTAACAGAATTACTTCTCCGGCCACATCCTAAACATTAAAATAAACAATACCCAAGGTTTAAAATGAATTTTTAAAAATTAACTCTTTCTTGAAGCTTTATTTTAATTTTAAGCTAATATATTAAATTTAATGTATCCAATAAGCAAAATACTTTGCTGTATTTCAAAAACTATTTTAAAATTGACTGGAAGGAGTTTTTTTTTTTTTCTTTTTTTTTTGCTAAAATAGCTGATTAGCACACTTTATAGTCTTTCATCGCAATGTAAATCTCTTTATTTAAAAATCTACCAAAAATATACTTCTCCAAAGCTTTTAGGAATATTAGCTGATTTGAAACCTTTACTGAAATTTTAAGTTCAAAATATCACAGAAATGCATTTTTAACCCAACAATAGCTATTTTGACAGGTCTAATGTTGTTCTACTGAGACTTTATCTGTAAAACAACTGAAAAAAATGATGTGTGCACATTTATTTAATTTTTAAGTACTCGGTAATCTTACAAATTTAGGAAAATATTCTCTGTAATGTTTTATTAAATTTTAGCAATTGTGACTTTAAATTTACTATACATATCGCTCTTATTTTCTAATAATGGTGTGTAAGGTTGCCCATACTTGAAAAAAATTTATATACACACATAAAAGAAAAAATAAAATTCAAAATTCTTTTAAAAATATTGCTGTTTGATTTGCATTAATCTTTTCTATTTATGATTAGTAAATATAGTTTTCACTTAATAATATCTAAAAGGCTGAAATTGATACAGAATTTTAAGAATTAAAACTTTATAAATTTTTATAATTAAAATTTAAAAATAGAAAAACAATTCCTGTAAAAATTCATTATTCATCAAAAAAAATTTTCTTAAGACAATAGTCCCCTTAATATATCTTATTTAAAAAAAAAAAACAAAAGCTTTTCTAATTAAACAGTAGAGATGTGTGGTTTAACAGAAAAACTGACTTTTTTCAGTTTCATCTTCACACCGTGAAACCGCATTGAAATGTTTTATGAAACTGAAATCGTTCAGTTTTTTAAGTGCTATATCACTACTGAGTGACTATATCCAAAGAAACACTATTGAAAAAGTCTTTCAGATGTTAATAAAATTAAATTTTATCAAGATTTATACTCTGCAAGTCTATCACGCATGAACATAGGTACATACAAAAATACAAATCACATACAACGCCGAGCATTCATTGGTTAATTAATCACCACTACATTATTATAGACAATTTACAAATCACAGCAATGCGTCAATTTTGTAATCGCTCTATTTTAATGTAGTCAGTTTTGTGCACTTTTGGGAGAAACGGATCACAGAAGCTTTCTTAAGTCTCCCCAAAGCTCGCTCGCTGATTGGTCTATTCACGTGAAGAATAATTCTTCCCGTGCAGCGATCTGGAGCCTATAGTCACTTATTTAAGCAAGAATTTTCTAACCCTTTTCAGTGAGAATTCAGCAGCCAAATGAATCCACATTTGAAACCATGCGCCAACCTTCTCACTCACATGCTGAACATACCTTGTATATACTCACATCTTTCCTAACATGGCAAATCGTTTAAGAACAGTCATTATCAGAGACTCTCATGAACATTATTCCAGTGAACTTTGAAATACTAAAATAACATATAAAGAGAGACAACTCTTGTTTATTTCAACCTTTCTTTCACATTGTTTGATATTGTACATCTTGTTAAATACATATTTTATATGTAACACCATCTTTTGTTTATCCTTTTCTGCATCAGATCTGTTTCCTAATCTAAAGTTAAATGTGATGAAGTCTGGCAAGAGAAAAGATTGAACAAAAATGTTAAAAAAAAAAAAACATTTAATTGACTAGTTTTAGGAAATAAATATGAAATCTGTTTACAAAAGAAATGAAGAAGAAAAAAAAGAAATACAACATGATGTCTGAAAAATGAAAATTCATTTGTTTGTTTTTGTGGTAAAATACTGAGTAAAAATAAAAAATTAGTTGCTCGTTTCGTCTTAATGTTATGAAGTTGGATTTTTTGTAATTGTTTTCTAGTAAGCCAGTGTACACCAATCACAAAATAAGTTGTAAACAAGAATAATGAATGAAGATCTATTTTAATAAATAAATTTGTTTTTTATCTAGGGAATGCACCTAAATTAGATATTAAGAATAATTAAAATTGTTCTTAATATCACTATTAAAATATGTATATTCCCAGATATGTGACTCTCTAGTGTAAAATTGTTTTCTACAAATAAAATTAGATATGAAAAAAATAAAATAAGTTTTAATCTTAGTTTTAAAATGTGTATATTTTCAAGACTGCAAGTCATTTTGTTTTAAACCCAAAGTAAAAATTTATTCTTTTTTAGCCACTAGTGTTCGGTGGGTGTTCTGCCTATAAAATTTTTCTAAAGGAAAATTAATTCATTTTATTTTTACAAATATCTTTATGGTTTTATCTAGCAAATACACTTAAGATTATATATTAAAATGATTATAAAATAGTTTTTAATTTCAGTTTTAAAATGTGTAAAGAACAGGTGCTACTTGTAGATTTGGAAATATATACATTATAAAAATGAACTTAAAAGCTTTTAATTATTTTTAATATTTAACTTTAGGTGTTTTATTTAGGGGGAAAATAACTGATTTTCCTTTAGAAGAAGTTTATTTTTAAAACCCCAACAACATTTGACTGACATAACAGAAAAGAATTGCTGTATTTTTAATAATTTTAAACATGAGGAGTTTCATTTGGTTTTTTTTAAAAGCCACATCATAAACTAATTTCTGGAGAGCTATATCATTTTATTTTCTCTCAAAAATGTCTTGTCCAAAGACACAAATATAGATATTTTATGCAACGATTTTTCATATTTTACCAATTTGTTATAAATATGGTTGTTATTTATAGTTGACAATTTATTCAAAAGTCTAATAAACTTTAATCCAAGTCATCAATTCTATGACTAAATTACCTTTAAAGCCTAAAAACTGATTTTAGGTGAACAATTTCTACTATATTACCCACCCCGATTTGCAGTTTTTAATGCATGTCTATAAATTTTTATTACCCTTTAAAACCAAATATTGACCCCTTACACCCCAGTTAACAGATTTCCACAAAAAAACACACAAACTCCAAAGTTGAAAAGTATATGTGGCATTTATTTTACACAAAAAGACAGTAGTTTCAATAATTTGAAAGTTCTTTTACCACATACTATTAGTTAATTTTTTTTTTTGCTGATTACTTTATAATTTTTGAAGGAATTTGCTTTCACAGGTCAGAGAAGCTTTTAACATCTTCCTGGTTGTAGCTTAAGGTGTCTTCTAAATTAGAAGAGTTAGTGTACAATTTCAAGAATATCGATAAAGATTGGTCACATTGATTTTATGAAACAAAGCAACATGTAAAATAAAATTTAGTCTCAAAAAAAAAAAAAAAAAAATTTTTTTTTTTGCATTTTTGGCTGTTCAAAGCAAAATACTGTTTTAACTCACTGTAAAAATAATTCAATGAACAAAAACACATACAAATTACATATTTAGAAAGATTATTTTATTTTCTTTCCAGTCATAGGAATATTTTTAAGATTGGACCAGAAATACATGAGTTTGCAAATTTATCAATGTCAAATGAAATCAGATATTGACTGGAAATACTATCATTACACAAGAAAATGAATGGCTTCCTTAGGAAGCAAAATACTAAATTAAAAACTGAATCGAAAACCATGCTATCAGGGGGGGCTTGAAACCCACCAACTCTATTAAACAGTGTCTTAGTTTTTATTGCATTTTTTATTTAAAAATTCAGACCAGATTTGATAAATGGTGTTCATTTGACAAGAACAAATTGAGGATTTAAATTCTCCAAGGAGTGCTGCTTTAACTAATATAAACATGAAGAGGCTGAAATTTTAATTTCTCAAAAAAAAAAAATCAAAAAAAAATTTCATTTGGGCATAAGTCCTGAAAATTTCATTAAAATCCAACAATTATTTAATTTTTGCTAGAATAAAAAAAAAAAAAAAAAATACTTTAGCCTTTCCTCTTAATAAAAATTTTGGCAATAAAATATTTTTTTTTATCAAGTTTTGGATCTTTTTTTTTTTTTTTTTCATCATAGTAGAAAATTGTTGGAGTTACCTATTCTAATGCCAGTCATTCTTCCCAAAATACATAAATCAATCGTGGAGTTGTTACTTCATGATTTTGATCTTGATTTCACTGAAATCTAATAGCATTCAACTAGATTCTGATTACAAGTCTCAGTTTCAATTATCAATCTCTCTCACCCTCAATCTTATTCATCATGAATATATTTCTACAACTCAAATCTGGTTAAGTAAAAGAGTGTCGCCCTCCTGATAAGCAATATAATAGCACAAAAACATTAAAGTGTGTAAGCCAAGAATAGAACAGATGTTCAAACTTAAACAAATAATTTAATTCAAACAAGAGAGAAAAGAAGAAAAAAATCTAACAATACAAATAGTAAAAAAATATAGTTTTTTTTATTCAGGAGCAGATGTTTTAGCTACAGCAAATGGTTCCTCTACAGGAAGTGAACCACATTCTACTATAACAACACTCTTGATTGGTTTATCTCCGTTACTAGTCTTCGTTGATTCTATTTTCCGAACAACACTCTAAAAAGAAGAAATTGAATAGATCAGATGCAAATCAAGCCATACAAAGTGTAAAGTTGTTGATGCAATTAAATTGTCTAATTTTCTTGCAATCGCAAATGAAATTCACATGGTGTTGGATCTCATTAGACAAGTTTTGAGAAATTTTTTTTTTTTATAAATTTAGTATTATATATATATATATATATATATATATATATATATATATTATATTACAGACATTTTAATTTTAAGAGAAAAATCACAAAAAGGACATCAACTTTCAGAAAAAGAAATTATAATAGATATGAGGCTGTTCACATACAATTGGGAGAGTGGAATTTGTGTCATGGTGGGGCAATACCTCCCTGAACAAGAGAGCAATTAGTAAATGTCTAAGCTGCAGTAAGCAATTTCCTCTCCTTTGTGAAACAATCATACTACAGGCTAGTAAAAAAATAATTTCAACTGGTGTATTTGAGAAATTATGGACAACTTAGACATAACTTACCATTCCTTCAAGGACAACACCAAATACAACATGGCGCCCATCAAGCCATGAAGTCTTGTCTGTTGTAATAAAAAATTGAGAACCATTTGTGTCTTTTCCAGCATTGGCCATTGATAGCCAACCAGAGCCATAATGCTTCAGCTTGAAGTTTTCATCATTAAACCTTTCTCCATAAATGCTGGCACCTTTAATAAAATATACACAAAAAATATAATGAAGAATTTCTCTTCTCATTATTTCTGGTACAGTAATAACTAAAACAATCAGTCCCGATTTGAAAATGCTAATGTAACAAGGTTTTCAAATTTATATTTATGGCTTTGATTTCCCGTTAATATATTTGTTAATTTATAAAATGTTGATTATGGTTAACACAGAACACAAAACTTCAATATTTCTACAAAAGGCATGATAGAATCCCTAATAGCAAATAAATTGAAACTAATTTTACTTCTAGTCTGAAAATGGATTGTTTTTAACTAATTTGTCATTAGATTTTGAATTTAAACATTAATATAAAAATCCAAAAAGCCATGTAAACAGTCACTATTGCAGTTTTCTTACCCCCAGTTCCATCTCCCTTGGTAAAGTCACCTCCCTGAATCATGAAGCTTTTGATGACACGGTGGAAAGTGCTTCCCTTGTATGCCAAAGTTTTGCCATTACGTTCCTAGAAAAAAAAAAAAAAATTTCAATGAGATTTTTGAGAAGTAGCAACAAGTTTAATGAATGAATAACTTTCATAAAAAGTTTAAAGTCTGTTAGCTGAGAAAATTTCAGAAAATGCCACAAAGACAAATCAAAACTTGCAAGTAGTCATCAGGTAAAAGAAATTATGAATTATAATTAGGCTTTCAGATTTAATATATTAAATAAAAAACCTGTAATACCGTATAATATATGGACTGTGCCAGCAATATTTTAACCAGATATTTTTATTAAAATTTCAATTATGTAACAGCCAGTCTTTGTTCAGCAACTGAGGAATGTGTGTATATATATATATATATATATATATATATATATATATATATATATATATATATATATATATATATATATATATATATAAATACCTAAAACTCGAAAGAAAATAAATTTCTTGATAAATCCAAGCAAAAATCTACTAAGTCTTTTACAGAATCAAGCAAAATCCTTAAGATATGGAATATGCATGAGAGGGTGCTGAAAAGTTCTTGGCTTGACCAAGAAAAGATTCACAAAGGTTAGTGGGAATTGATATTTTGTTCTACTTTGACAAAGAAATTAGCCTGAGAACTTAGGTATACTCTTCTAGTACTTGGCTGGATTTCCTCTTGCCTTGAGATCAGCTTCAGTTCTTCTTGGTATAGATTTGATGTTCTGGAAATACTTTCCATGCTGTTTATTATGGCATCCTGCAGTTGTAAGTTAGTTGGATTTATATCCAGGATTAGTATCTCCTTTTTCCAAATTCCAAAAGGTGCTCTGTAGGATTAAGATCCACAGATTGTAGAGGCCACTTTAACACAAAATTCATTGCCGTGTCCCTCAAACCCATCTAACACTATTTTTTGATTCATGTCACTATGCATTGTCCTGCTGAAAGTATCCATACAAAGATGCATGCACTGTAGTTAGAAATTGAGGCAAGTTGTCAGGCATAATACCTTGTGAGGTTGCCGCATTTCAATCTTTTATGGGTACCAAGAGTCCTAATGTAACCAAAGATGAATTCATATTTTCATGGTTGAAAATATGAATTTCATTTAAGGTTGAAAGTATGAAAAGCAAATGTCATTACAGGAAATGAAACCCACTTTTAGCCAAGGAGCAGTAAAGCAAGTTTATACAAAATAAGACGTGCTGGAGAATTGCCTTGGAGGTCCAAGAAGGCCAGATTGGCATAGCCTAAACTTGCACATAAGACAAGCAACTTGTGAGCAAGGCAAACTATACAAGCATGGTGCTGGAATGACACAGAGCATGTGTCACTGAGCCAGACCAAGATTGGCAGCATGTGCAAGATTCTAATTTTCTGACTTGGCAAAACAAATGAAAGAAGTGAGTGTTTGTTGGGACAGCAGTAATCTTTTGTGCTAGGTGCAGTTCAGATCGGTACATTGTAGTGTGTGCTAAACCAGAGTCTCTTGGGTTGTTCTAGTGTCTGTGCTACAGAAGAAACTGTTTCTTGCTACACAAGGACATTGTAATTCAGAAAAATGGTAAATCTAACATTTGTTATTTTAAACAAGAGTGATTACAAGTTAAAACAACCATTCTTGAAAACTATAGTTTGAAGGGTGGCAGGTGTTATGAACTCCCTCAAGACTGATACACTTATGTATCACTTTAGTTAAAAAAAATATGTTCAAATTAAACAAATGCCTAAAATCTTTTAGTTAATCCTCTAACCTTTTTATATCACTAGCTTAAAAGCCATCCTATCAAAGAAGCATTTAAGCTAGCTCTTGCAGAGGGTTCAATTGGGCCTTTGGCTTGTTCAAGAGTTTGAGAATCCCTAAGTCTTTGAATATTCTCAACACTGGAAGCTCTCCTGGCTGCCATTTGATCTGGGTTTTCATTTGCATGGGACTTTTCCTTGCTACAGCCTTGGCTCGTTTGATTGCAATCTGGTCCTCTGTTGGCAGAGATTTTTTTGCAAAGCATACTGCTGCTACATGCGATAGGCAAAACTATAGAACTCAAAATTTATTTCTGCATTTAAATATTGCATTAATATACAAGTTTAGCTTTTAAAAGTTTAACGATAATTGTTCTGCAGTCACTTGATGTGCATAGGTCCTTACTTTCTGTACAAAATTATATTTTTTTATTTCATGGGTGAATTTTGCTGGATATTGCAATTAATTTTGATTATTTCCAAGTTATAGAAAATTATCATACAAAAAAAAAAAAAAAAAAAAAAAAATGTTGCAAGAAATCATGTATAATAATAAAAAAAAAAACACATTGATTTCTGTAACATGAGCTATTGAAAGTTATAGTGTCCATTTAAATTGAAAAAAAGCGCGACACACTGACACTTGCATTTATTATATAGATTGATAGCAGTTATGCGTCATGATCACCTTACTTGATAATATCAGTCAATATAACGTGGTTAATCTCAAAATTATGATATGAATAGATAAGTACATCTATTTGTAAAGTGGATTTGAATAATTACTTTTCCAGGTTCCTAAGAAACTGAAGATTTAAAAATTGTTAGAAAAAAACTGCACACCTTTTTTTTTTTTTTAAAACAGTAAATACAATAGTTTTTTTTAATATTTGTCTACTACCTGATAATCAGGTAGTTTAATTTTCAAGAACTAAGAAACTAAATTTTTCAAACTTCAGTCATTTCTTTCAACTATTATTTCTAGTCAATAATTAAATAATTAGAAGAACTTTATAATTATGAAAAAACATTTAAAATTTATATCAAATGATGTCTTTCCACGGCCTATTCATAAGAAATTAAGAACAAAACTTACCATTGTGCCTTCTGCCAAGGTTTTGAAGTTCTTTACTGTTTTCGGAACAGTTTTGCCAAATAAACCAATAACTATACGGCCAGCATCAGTATCACCAATTTTGATGTCAAAATAAACCTGAATAATAAAAATTACTTTGGATAGAGCAAGATCTTTATAGATCATAAAAAGTAATTTACGTAAAAATTTAAATAGTTAAAGTCACATTAAGCAATATTTAATGTTTCATTTACACTTTTGGGAAAAATTAAAAAAGTACAAACAAAACCAATTTTTTTCCTCTAATAACTGATCACTAACTTTTTGACACATTATTCACTATTATTCAGTAATTTTTCTTGCCAATCAGTTTACTATACAATCAATAATTGTAATCTATTCTTTATTAATATTCCTAGTTGTATATACTTTTTTTTTAAAAAACTTGCCTCCGGTGTAAGTAACTTAGTAACAGTCTAACTCTCTGCTTTTGGGCGGAGAGGAACCCGGACAAGGCTCCGCCGAAGGGCACAGTCTCGTTCGGGTGGTTGACTACCCCTGAACCCGTTTATGCGGGTTCAAAGAGGGAATATTTTTGGCCGAGCCTACGGGCTCGGAAATCCCACGTTAAACCCGGCCTTGTGCCATATGTAACCTTCGTGTGGGGGGCTAAATATTACTTTTTTTTTTAAAAAAAACTTAAAATTCAGTTACTAAAAAAAACAAACAAACAAACAAACCACACACAATGAGCGAAAAGACGATAAAATTTTTTAAAAATTATATAGTGTACAGTGTACACTGTACTGTAAGCCGAAACGTAAATAAATTCGATTAACTCATCTGGTTAACCAGAAGAAAGACCCCAAGATAAAAAAAAAAAAAAACCTTTGTTCATTTGCTAGCAAGTTTTTTTCTTTGTTTTTTTTTTAATATATTGGAACGTCTGCATGTGTTACACGTTTAATTATGGCAGGCAACTGAGGAGATAAATCAATTTTAGCTAAAAAAAAAAAAAAAAGACTATTTTTTCATTTATAGATACGAGATCTACGAACTTTGGGGGTGGAGGCAAGATCTTCCATTTTAACGTCCAAAAGTCCAAAACGTTTTGTTTTTTTCACATAAATCTCTGAAAATTTATATTTATTTTTTTGTTAGTCTTTTTTAGTGTTTCAAGTGATTTTTTTTTTTTAATATGTCGAACACAGATTTATGTCCCTTTTTGTTTTTCAAATTCTTAAACTTTTAGTAGTGGTCACCAATGTTGAATTTACGGAAAAATAAAATAGACATTTCTAAGAAGACCTTGCGTGAATAAATGAAGTAAACGGTAAACCAGACTTTTTGCTTTACAAACTTATCAGTTTCGCATAAGTTTAATTTTATTAATATTTCTTCATTCTTTAATTAGCCGAGATGCGCTCAGACTTTCGGGCGCGCTACAGCTAACTAACAACACCATAAAACTTTTTTTTCTATATCTCTGTCAATTTTTTTTTTTTAACAGACTGAAAGTTATTACACGCCTTCAAATTAAGAAATAACTACTGTGGAAGGTTTTAAAAAAAAAAAAAAAATTTATGTTCACTTCATTAAGTCTTAAAAGAGCTTAAATTTTAAGCTCTGTGTTGATTATTCCAGACGAATATCAACGCATTGTATTGTCGGAAACTCGATATTGTTTAAGACCATGATAGTTTTAGCTAGCAAGTACTGTGTATATTTTTTATGCGCTTTCAATCAATAATAATTATTTCCTTTTTTAAAGGGCGCTACTTACAATGTCGTCTACATTGTACTCAATCGCGCTCTTTTGTAGTTTTAGTACGTCTTTTTTGTTTTGTTTTGTTTTTTTTTAAAAAACGCACGTCATTAGAATATAGATAAAGTTGCTTTTTTTTCTAACCCTCCACCCACCTCCTTTGAGACCAAGAACAATTTATTGTGCTACGAAAATCCCCAAACTTAACATTAACTACATTACACTTACACTACAGTGATTAATCAAAACAAAGTAACTCCCTATTTTATGTATGATGGACTCTCCAGTCTTGTAAAAATTATGATTAGACGGGAGAGTCAGTCGTTATTTAAAAAAAAAAAAAAAGTCTGGATAAATTTAAAATTATTAAATTTAGTTTCTGTAACAGGCATTTTAAAAAAATGGTGGGGGAGAAAGATACAAAATTCCCCTAGATACAAATTTTAAAAAATGCTAGTACTCTTTCTGAATTTATTCTTAGGAGCCGGCAACATTATTTTTCAGAAAAATCTCAAAAATAGTATTCAAGATTTCGCCAAATAAACTACCAGACTTTAAAAAAAAAAAAAAAAAAATTGGAGTTTTCTGTTTGTCATTTTTGTTGATCGAATTCAGTAGAAAACGTCATTTTAAAAAATATTTTATGATGAATGTCATTTTTTTAAGTAAAATAAATTAATGATGCACCTAATTAAATAAACAAACTTCCTGGATTTGTACGTGATTTGAACACTACTGACAGACTGCTTGTATGTTTTACAGAGGAAAAACATCCGCGCATAACCAGTCTGTTTAAAATTAAACATTTTTCTGGTAATTTTTGATATTCAAAAAGGAAAAAGTGGAGGATTTAAAAGGAAAGAAATTAAATTCAGCACAAAATTGATTTTTTTTTTTTTTTTTTTTAACATTTTTCAACACTTTCATTTCTTCAATATACTCATTGTTTAGTCGGATTGATTGAAAATTATTTTTAAATGCGAATAATGTGTCAATTTAAAAAAAAAAAAAATCAACATAAAACTTGAAAAGCAAACTTACTTTGTCTGTTACTTTTGGTCCTTTCGGTTTTCCTTGGGATCCCAAGATAAATGTCGGCAATACTATACCGATAAGAAATATACACACATTCAACTGCATGATGATAAGAAAAAAAAACTAATCAGCTATTTTCCCTTAATATAACGGAATAGATTCTGATGAAATGAAAAGAAATGAAGCACCGAAAAAAAATGCAGACTATAAGTCGACTTATAGAACCGCCTTCTTTTTTTTTTTTTTTTAAAAACAAACCGGTGTAATTTATCTGCTGCAAAATAAGCCGATCACATATAAACTTTGGTTTTCCGAATTTATTTCTTCATAACAAAATGCATGAAAGAAATTAAATTTTAGTACATTATCTGGCAGAAAGTGTAATTCTATTTTCTAAAGATTCTAATTGTTTATACAAAAAGTAGAAAATATTTCTTCCAGTATGAAAAACGGAATAATATATAAAAAGGGAATATTTTTAGGCACACTGTTGACTTCTTGAATTTGATTTGTCAATAAAACTGAGTTGGAATGATTTGATTGGTTGTTTCAGAGATTTCCCCTTTACCTCTCCCAACACTTTAGTTAGATTTTTATCAAAAAATAAAAAGACACGTTGTACTAAGTTAAAAATTCTTGACGTAAGCGAATCTTAGGGCGTCGATTTTTGTTTAATGCATTCCTTATTTCTACTGTCACCATTTATTTTACTGTATTTGGGTGACATGTAAGATACCCCTACTTTTTTATCAATATATTTCCGCTTTACCGAGCGCGCTTAGGAAAAGGAGAAAAGCGGTTTATCTCCCGCTTACTAAATAAGTTAACTCTTAAAATTAAATTTTGTCATTGTTTAGGAAATTTATCATGTTCGAATAAAAATAGTAAAAAAAATAACGATATTTATGAAATTTATTGTACTTAAGCGTAATTTTAATAATCATCAGTCAAAATATAAACGAGCTACTGTGTGAGATTTTTAAAAATTTATATAATAAAAAAAAGAAATGTACAGTAAAATTTATAAAAGAATTAAGAAGGGCTAAATAAAAAAAAAATACAATATAGATTCAGAGTAAGTTTTTATTCATTACACTTTCTTTTGAAGGAAGTGATTAAAAAAATATTTATTAAAGAAGTATGTTACTAACAGTTTAAATTAACATGTATTGTTTAAATAAAAAAAAACTGCTACAATGAAGCCAGATGGTTCGTAAAAAATGGTTTGAATAAAATTTAATGTGTAAAACTTTGCATGTTTGAGGCTCAAATTCATGTAAAAAAAATACCACCAAAATTAACCCTAATGGTTTAAAAAAATACATGTATCAAATTTGTTTTTCAAAACTTGTAAACAAAGAAGTACAAGCCTGACGGTCTCAAAACACACCTAAATAAAGTTTGCAAATGAATGATGTTTAAAGATATACATTTTGTGATTTTTCTTTTAGCCAATGAGGAAAGTAAGTTAAGCCTAAGTATCAAATCTCAGATTAATTTCAGAGCCGATTTGTGGCTATTTAAGAAGTCTGACTTGTCTGATTGACAGAATGGATTTGACTTTCTCAAGCAAAACTCATTGGTAATTGCTGGGAGCTGAACTTAGATGAAGGAAAAGAAAAAAGAATGATTGCAGCATTTACAAAGAAAACATCAGCTGATTCTAGAAGCTGAACTTATATGAAGAAGAAATAGAAAGCATAAAACAGAGGGGATTTGTCTGTCACAAGGGAGACATTGACTGGTGTTGGGAGCTGAACTCAAATGAAGAAGCAAAAGATAGTAGAAGAGTTTTGGCATTCACAAGGAAGACATCACCTAGTTCTGAGATCTGAACAAAAGAAAAATTAAAAACAACTGACTACAATGTCAATGAAAAGAAACTGTAGTGAGTGCAAAATAATAATAAATTGTGAAATTGTTTTTTGGACCAATTAAAACCTTGCCTTCACAGAAATTAGCCAGTCAGTCAAGAAGAAGAAAAAAGTAAATTTGCAATCCTATGCAAAATTACTTTTGATATGAAAATAAGAATTAAACTGAAATTAATCAAAGAGTGCCTGAAGTTATGTGAAAAATTTCATTTCAGTTCCTCACAGCCTGTATTGAAGTACTACAGAGTGTAAAATTACTTGCCAATTATATTATCAGCCTCTAACTAGCCTGCAGCACTTCAAAGACTCTTCTCTCAACAATCCAAGAAAGCTAAGTATTTCAAAATATTTCTTCATTTACTTTTGAACATATTCAAACCATATATCCCTTTTGTGAACAACAAATCATCTTACCTCTGTTCTAAACAATTTTTAATATTATTTGTGTCAGATAATTAAATCTGTTGTATGAAAATTCCCTCTACATGACAATGTTAAAACTATGAAAATTAAAAATTCAAATTTATTTTCATGAAATGAGCTAGACACTATTTCAAGCATGTAAATTTGTGAATAAATTCCTTATCTTGTTCTGTTAAATTTACCCATGCGTTTCCTTGTCATTATCATCCTTCATTAATCTTTATGGCATGGGTAAATCAACTGTTCATTTAACCCCCTAATCCCCATAGACTATAAAACAAGCTAAACGAAAAGGAAGTAACAGAAGAAAAAGAAATAAAAGCAGAAATGATAAAATTCTACAAATTTAGAGAGATATACAATCATCTTTCTATAGTTGGTTGTGAAGTTTGGCACAAAATTAGAGCTATTAACCTTGATTATGAAATTCTTATGAAAATACAAACCTCAGTTTGTAAAACTGAACTATTGTCTAAAAAAACCAGTGACGCTTGTGAATCATCAACTTTCTCAAATCTCACACTCCTCCATGCTCTTTTGAACAGAAGTAAAGGTTTATCTCTTGTTTCCTGTTTATGACTAGTTTTCTAGTTTTTATGCACCTAACAGAAATTTTACATTGGAGTAAGAGTTTTGTGTTTTTTTTTTTTTTGTTTTTTTTGTGATATTCATAATACTCAAGAAGAGACTTGGCACTCTCTCCTCCGCACCCATGAAAATCCCTTTAACTCTCCCTTATTTATATTTAACCCTGTCATTGTGGGGTTTTTTATTGCTAATTTTCAAGGTTATAAGCCTGACAGTTTATAAAAAAGATACATGTATAAAATTTGTAAAAACAAAAAAAGAGACTGATGGTCACTTAAATAAAGTTAGCAAACTGGTATGGCTTAAAGAGATACTTAGAATGCCAAAAAAATTTTGTTTTTAGCACCTGTTTACAGTATAATCAATTAAACTTGGTATTTTTAGTTTATCAATAATAAAAATAAATGTTTTATACAATTTTTTATAGTTATGTTAGACATGTCATTAATCCTTGGCAAGAAAAAATGGATTAGATAACTATTTATTTAAAGTTTAACTTTCAACCTTTGGTTTAAACTCTTAAAGAAAACAATAAACTTTAACATATGGAATGTAGATTTAATCTTTCAATAAATACTTTAATATAGTTTTAATCGACTGGCTTCATTTTGGTGGGTTTTTTATAACATGAAATTTATAGCCTTTATTTTTTTTTTTTTAAATCTTTGTGCATCAATTTTTATTAAATTTTTTATATAAACTATCTGGTTTCATTGTTTTTTTTTTAAAAAAAAGTGCTATTTTTCTTAATTCATTTTTTGTACTACTACAGCTATAACAGAAGTAGGTGTTTCTTGTGCAAGATAGCCTGATGGTGCACATTCCTCTTCAGGTTGGGTTTAAATCCAGTTTTCCTTCTCCTAGACTAGCTTCCATACAAAGGAAGACAGCTAAGTCTATATAACCCATAATAAAGGTGTATTCATGCCTTCTCCAAGGCCATTAGTGTGAAGTGAACAAAACAGACTCAAACAGAATTTGAATTCTGCACACCAATTCCATTTTCTGCACCAATAATCATTATACTTCCATCTCATACTCATTTCCAAAATATTAATATTCGATAAATTAATTTAATCTTTATATTTTTATTATAAAAATATTAAAAGTAAATTGACTACTTACAATTTATCTATAAATTTGAAACAATTATATATTTTTTTAAATTTTCTACATCTGTGTGAAAGTCCATGCAATACCCTGCCCTTGTCAACTGCCATCCAGGGGAGGTAACACAGTTTTGGTAACTAAAGCGGTACTGCCACCCCTGGTGTTACCAGCAGCTTTTGCCACCAGACAGGGTATTTTTTTTTTTTTTTTTGTGTGTAGACATGTCATTCTCTTGTGATATTAGTCTTTGTGCAAAAGAGTGAGATAAAGTAAAAATGAATATCTTGTGTATGAAATTTTGAGATGAAGAATTATTATTACATGCTATTTTGTTTGAACCATTGTTCTAAAAATAGTTAAGATAAGAACCCCAGTCCAAATGAATTTATTAATAATGTGTTCACAAAGTAACTCAGAAAGATGGTATTTTTCAAATTAAATTTTCTTAGTGTAGTTGACTTCAAATCATAGTTGACTGCGTCATGTTCAGTTGATTTAAAATATCAGGTTGGAACAAAATAAATAGGCATTTTGAACCACCAACTTTAAAACATCATAACTCACTAAATTGTGGCAACATCTTATCATTTTACAGTTGAAATGGCTAAATTTAATCATAAGTTCTATGCTAACAGTTTCTTCTATCATATTTCTCTCTTGTGGAACTCTTTTCCAACTTCTTGCTTCCCGGTCAATTTTGATCTTCAAAAATTTAAATGCAATGTCAATTGTTATACTTCTGTCTTCCTAATTCTTGTTCTTTTATTGTCTTCTCTCCTTAATAGTATATTTTTCTCATATTCTCTAACACTGAGTAACCCCTTGTATCCTAGTAGTTTTATTGCTTTGCTTGGTGTTAAATGATTAAAAAAAAAAAACAAACTCAAACACAACTTTCTTAGTCATTGGAATTGATGCAATGTTGATAATGGTCTTTCAGCGAATTTATTCATTATGATAAAAACTGAGATCACATGATTGACTAACTACTGAATGACATTTTCAGTCTGGTCTACATTGGCATTCACTTGCTGGTGCATATATACACTTATGGCTTTGACATAATGGTAACAGACAGGGGGCAGGTCGAGTGAATAGGGAGGGTGAGGC